CTGGAATTAGAGGGACACGGTAGATCTATGTGGAGGACACGGGCGTCCACAACTCGGGAGCCCAGCTGCTGAGAATCTTCTCCCCCACACCTGCTCTGGAAAGAGAGGTGAGGCAAAACCACAGTAGCCTGAGACACTGGCAGAAAAGTGGCAGGAAGAGCCTAGAGGGAATGAGGCTTTAAGCCACCTGAGGGAAAATACACCAGCCTAACTAGAGGAAAAAAAAATAAAAGGGATGGTACGAACATGATTCTCTCTCTCCACACACCTTACAAAGGCGTGTGAAACAATACAGCAGGCGCCATTTTGGACATACGTAATAGCTGTGCCAGCTTGGGGCTGCGCCTACCCTCAACCAAACAGAAAAACCTGACTATGGTTGGGAGTAATAACAGGAGACTAAGACCTAGTGAATGTGTGGAGCTTATAAACCAGGACTGTGAAAAAAAAAAAAAAATGAGGATGTGTGGGAGAATTCATGATGTAGCTGAGACATGAGTAGTTCAGGTGGGAGATGCCACAAACTGAGGTGGCCTTGAATGCCTGATGAGAGACATTGCAGGGGAATCTGAGCTTATGCTGAGGACTGCACAGTTCCTTTGTGTGGTCCTTGGGACAGAGCAGATAAATATTATACCCACTGGGGCTAGCGCTCAGGCACTGGATGTCATCAAGGAGAAGAGATCAGCTGAGCATAATTACTTCCCTTCAAATAAAAAAAAAAGAGGCCAGCACCGTGTCTCCCTTGCTAATCCTCCACCTGTGGCACCAACACCCCAGGTCTAGTCCTGGTTGGGGCGCCTGATTCTATCCCGGTTGCTCCTCTTCCAGTCCAGCTCTCTGCTATGGCCTGGGAGTGCAATGGAGGATGGCCCAGGTTCCTGGGAAACCAGGAGAAGCATGTGGCTCCTGGCTTCCGATCAGCGCGGTGTGCCACGGTGGCCACTGAGGGGTGAACCAATGGAAAAAGGAAGACCTTTCTCTCTGTCTCTCTCATCGTGCACTCTGAAAGTGAAAGGTTAAAAAAAGATGTTCCATGCCAACAGAAACCAAAAATGAGCTAGCCTAGCCATCTTAATATCAGACAAAATAAACTTTAACACAAAAACTGTTGAGAGACAATGAGGGGCACTATATAATGATTAAGTGATCAATTCAACAGGAAAATGTAACTATTATAAATGTATATGCACTTACAGAACACATATTCTTCTCAGCAGTACAGGGAACCTACCCTAGGATTGACCACATACAAGGCCCTAAAGCAGGTCTCAGCAAATTCAAAAGAATTGAAATCATACCATGAATCACTTCAGACCAACATAGAATTAAGCTGGAAATTAGCAATTCAGGAATCCCTAGAGCATATGCAAATACATGGAGACTGAACAACATGCTCTTGAATGAACAGTGGATCATAGAAGAAATTAAAAGAGAAATCAAAGACTTTCTGGAAGTAAACGAGGATAACACACAACATATCAAAACTTATGGGATACAGAAAAGCAGTGTTAAGAAAAAAGTTTACAGCAATAGGTGCCTACATCAAGAAATTGGATCTCTGCAAGTGAGATCCCAGTGGAAAGAACGGGTCATCAAAGAAGGAGGTACCTTTCTCTGAAGGGAGGAGAAAACTTCCACTTTGACCATGGCCTTGTCTAAATATGATCAGAGTCGGTGAACTCAGGGGGCTTCCATAGCCTTGGCAGCTCATGACAAGAGCCTAGGGTGATTACTGATGCCATGAACAAGAGTGTCAATTTGTTAAGTCAACAACAGGAGTCACTGCGCCCTTACTCCTCATGTAGGATCTTCGTCCTTAGTGTGCTGTACATTGTGATTTAATGTTATAACTAGTACTCAAACAGTATTTTTCACTTTATGTTTCTGTGTGGGAGCAAACTGTTGAAATCTTTACTTAATGTATGCTAAACTGATCTTCTGTATATAAAGAGAATTGAAAATGGATCTTGATGTGAATGGAAGGGGAGAGGGAGTGGGAAAGGGGAGAGTTGCGGGTGGGAGGGACGTTATGGGGGGGAAGCCATTGTAATCCATAAGCTGTACTTTGGAAATTTATATTCATTAAATAAAAGTTTAAAAAAAAAGAAATTGGAAAGGCACCAAATAAATGAGTTATCAATGCATCTCAAGGATCTAGAAAAACTGCAGCAAACCAGACCCAAAACTAATAGGAGAAGAGAAATAATCAAAATTAGAGAAGAAATCAACAGAATTGAATCCAAAAAAAAAATTACAAAAGATCAGCCAAACAAAGAGCTGGTTTTTTGAAAAAATAAACAAAATTGACAGCCCATTGGCCCAACTAACTGAAAAAAAGAAAAGACCCAAAGACCCAAATCAATATAATCAGAGATGAAAAAGGGAATGTAACAACAGACACCACAGAAATAAAAAGAGTCATCAGAAATCACTACAAGGACTTGTATGCCAGCAAACAGGGAAATGTATCAGAACCAACCCAAATGCCCATCAACAGTAGACTGGATAAAGAAATTATGGGACATGTGCTCTATAGAATACTATACAGCAGTCAAAAACAATGAAACCCGGTCATTTGCAACAAGATGGAGGAATTTGGAAAACATCATGCTGAGTGAATTGAGCCAGTCCCAAAGGGACAAATATCATATGTTCTCCCTGATCGGCGACAACTTACTGAGCACCAAGGGGGAAACTTGTTGAAATGAAATGGACACTATGAGAAACAGTGACTTGATCAGCTCTTGTCCTTACGGTTAATGTACAATGCAATAATGTACAGTGTAATACTTTATCCATTTTAGAATTTTTTTTGTTCTTAGTACCATTGGTTGAACTTTGTAATTAACACACAATTATTCTTAGGTGTTTAAATTTTAACTGAAAAGTGATCCCTGTTAGGAATATGGAAAACATTATGCTGAGTGAAATAAGCCAATCCCAATTGGACAAATACCACTTGTTCTCCTTGATAGGTGACAACTAACTGAGCACAAAAAAGGAAACCTGTTAAAGTGAAATGAACACTATGAGAAACGGTGACTTGATCAGCCCTCACCCTGACTGTTGATGAGCAACTTGATATGTTATCCCTCTTAGTATTTTTTTTTTGTTTGTTCTACTTAATACTTTTGGTTGAATGCTGTAATCAATACACAATTCTTCTTAAGTGCTGAAACTTAACTGAAAAGTGATCACTGTTAAATATAAGAGTGGGAATAAGAGAGGGAAGAGATGTGCAATTCGGGACATGCTCAAGCTGACTTGCCCCAAATGGTAGAGTTAGAAACATACCAGGGGATTCCAATTCAGTCCCCTCAAGGTGGCATGTACCAATGCCATCTCACTAGTCCCAGAAATGGATAGTTCTTGGACACATACAACCTACCTAAATGAACCAGGAAGACATAGAAAACCTAAATAGACCCTTAACTGAGACATAAATTCAATCAGTAATAAAGGCCCTCCCAACAAAGAAAATCCCAGGACCAGATAGATTCACTGCTGAATTCTACCACACATTTAAAGAAGAAATAACTCCAATTCTTCTCAAATTATGCAGAACTATAAAAAAAGAATGAATCCTCCCAAATTCTTGTATGAAGCTAACATCACCTTAATTCCTAAACCTGAAAATATGCATTAGAGAAAGGGAATACAGACCAATTTCCCTGATGAACAGAGATGCAAAATTGCTCAATACAATTCTGTCCAATAGAATGCAGCAACACATCAGAAAGATCATCCACACAGACCAAGTGGGATTTATCCCTGGTATGCAGGGATGGTTCAATGTGCGCAAATCAATCAATGTGATATACCACATTAACGAACTGCAGAAGAAAAAACATATGATTATCTCAATAGATGCAGAGAAAGCATTCAATAAAATACAACACTCTTTCTTGATGAAAATTCTAAGCCAATTGGGTATAGAAGGAACATTCCTCAGTACAATCAAAGCAATTTATGAAAAACCCATGGCCAACATCCTATTGAATGGGGGAAAAGCCGGAAGCATTTCCACTGAGATCTGGTACCAGACAGGGATGCCCACTCTCATCATTGCTATTCAATATTGTACTGGGAGTTTTAGCCAGAGCCATTAGGCAAGAAAAAGAAATTAAGAAATACAAATTGGGAAGGAAGAAGTAAAACTATCTTTCTTTGGAGATTGTTCATAAAACTGAATATAGTCCTACCACATGACCCAGCAGCCATCCCACTCCTTGGAATTTACCCAAAGGAAATTAAATTGGCAAATGAAAGAGCTGTGCACCTCAATGTTTATTGCAGTTCAATTCACAATAGCTAAGACATGGAATCAACCTAAATGACCATCAACAGAAACAGGATAAAGAAATTATGGGATATGTACTCTATAGAATACTATACAGCAGTAAAAAATGAAATCTAGCATTGGGTCTTGAGTCTATATTGCCTTCCAATGTGGCTTAAATTTTATAAAACACATTTTTCTTAATTTTTAGCAGTTTATTGCAGAACAATGGAGACAGACAGAAGGAGAAGGAGAGATTAATAGAGAGATGTGGATCATCCACTGGTTCACTCTTCAATTGACTAAAAAACCTTCGTTTGGACAGGCGGAAGCCAGGAAGCCTCCATCCATGTCTGTCATATGGTTGGTAGGGACCCAGATACTTCATCAGTTGCCTCCCTGAGTTTGTATTAAAAGAAGCTAGATCTGAATATGTAGGGCAGAAACCCAGGCACTCTGATATGGGAGGCAAGCTTCCTAATCAGTGGCTTAACCCACCTCAACACACCTGCACACTCATAACATTTTACCTAATATTTGTGTATGTGATTAGTTGGTGTATTTCCAATGCACTAAGTGCATCTTTAAGTCATTTTTGTATTGAAACACAGTATTTTAATGTTTTAATTCACACATAATAATTATACATATGTATGAGGTAATTTGTTGCATTTATACAATGTATAGTGATCAAATCAAGGTAAGAGGTTACGTTTTTAGTTTATTCCTTTTGGTTTTTGGATAGTAGAATGCATCACTTTTGCACTATGCTTGGAAAAGTCATTTTTAAAAAGTAATTGTTCCAGAGCCGGCATTCTGATGCAGGAGGGAAAGCCGCTTCCTGCAATCCGGCATCCCATATGGCTCCTCCACTTCTGATAGAACTCTTTGATCACAGGTCTGGGGATGGAGTAGAAGATGGTCCAATGTTTGGGATCCTGTCACCTATGTGGGATTAAATATAAATAGTAATTATAAAATAACTAATAATACAATAAACTCATTTATTCTATGTGTTCTATTGTATCTAGAGTAAAAATAAATTTACCACATTAGAGAGAAAATTGTAATAGTGATTTAATATGGCACTAGCCTGTAGATATTTGCATATTTAACGTATTGGGATACATAAAATAAGAGAGGTTGCACAACACCACCCTGCTTGTACATTACAACAGAATCATCCAATCATATTTTCACAATGGTGCTTCTTAAAATGTCAAATATGCCAGGTGTATAGTTATTTCAAATTAGAAACTAAAAATGATGCGATAAGGAACTCTACAAAAACCAATTCTTGTCCAGTTATTTTTATTTCACACAGTATCATTTGATGTTGATTTTATCCTTTGTGTGAAGTTTCTTGGTGTTATTCTTCAAAACCACTAGAAATAAGCATTTGGCCTAATGGTTAAGATGTACATATCCAGTATCAGGATTCCTGAATTGAATATCTGGCTCTGGCTCCTGACCATAGCTTCCTGCTACATACGGCAGGAGAAAACAGTGATGGCTAAAGTAATTGAGTTCCTTTCACTCACATGGAAGAGTTGGACTCAGCTAGCAGGTTCAGTCCCAGCCAGGGGCCCCTCAGGCATTTGGAGAATGAAGCAGAGAGTGGAAGCTCTCCTTCTTTCTATCTGTCTCTGTTTCTCTGTGTCTCAGATAAATTTCAAAACAACAATATAAATTACATTGGAATAAGTAATTTATGGATATCTGCATTTGAGCTTACAGTCTAAAATAGAAAATATATGGCATATTTATTAGTACATAATAATTACAATTTATAAAGATTTAGTTTAGTAACATTTATCTTAAAAGCAAGGAAATGAGTTAACTGAGTTCACTTGGCCTTTTCAAGGTCTAAGACTTTATTATTTCTTTCAGCTCAGTGAAATGTTCATTTTCAGTGTTTTCTAATTATCATCGCTGCATATTAAAATTAAAAAATTTCCAGCCTACCTACCTACCACTGTTGAATTATCTGAAGCTAAATTATAGAGTTACATAGATGATACAGTTATATATTAAATGTTGAAATCCTTTTCATTATATAACTTCAGAATTGATTGTTCAAGTCTGACAAGGATAATAAACACCCCTAATTACCTAGAAGGACTGTCTCCACAAGCTACTACTCTTTTTGTAAAGGCATTTATGTGCTTTTCCAGGCAGATAGATTTGCTCTGCCTCTTAGCCTGACATAAATTATTTTTATATCAATCTTTCAGAAAAGGGTTGTCCTCTGAATGATAGCTATGGGGAATATAGTACCTCTGGGAAAAGAAAATTAATTTGTCTCATTATTTTCTATATCTCCCTATTCCCCAAGCAGTAATACAGCTCAGAAACTTATAGTAGAAGTCTAAGCCCCAACAGTTAAGTTTCATAAGTACATATCATTAAAGAGCAAAACTCCTTAAAATAAGGTTAGCTGCTGGGAATTGAAAGCAAAGAAAAAGAATAAAAGAATCCAACTAGGAGAGATATTTAATCCAGCTTCATTATTTTTACTCTGACACAATTATATCACCTTGTTATTTGACTAGAAATTGCAAAATATTAGACACCTCATTAGGGAAATAGGATATACTATCACAACTTGGCAGGAGGGGGTGCATTTTTTAACTAGATAACTTAAAATGTTTCCACAAATCACATTAATATTTAAGCAAATTACTTACTCTAAATTAGATTACATTCTCTCCTAACTCAAGCATGTATTTTTTATCATGTTAGATTTTGATTAGGACAGGTTAACTCAACAAACAAGAAACTAATTTCAATCAAAATAAGATATAAATCTGAAAATTCAGCTGTGAGAAAATAATATTCTTATTATGTTAACATGAATTAATTAATTAGCCTTTATAACTGCTAAAGAGGTAAATATTTGCACAAAATAATGGGTATTTAAATATATTTGTTTTATGATTTTAATTAATATATATATTTATATTTAAATGCAGCAAGTTCATGAATAAGCTTAAAATAACAGCACAGAAATATTCTTAGTTTTATAACAATAATTTGTACAATGGATATGTTACTGAAAACACAGTATAAAATTCGTAATTGTTTTAGTCTGCCCTGATTAGTAAGAAAATATGGAAAACTGAGAATTCTTTTGAAATGAACATCGGAGGCATGAATATTTCAAATGGAAATTTTGTGAGAGAATGTGTAAAAATTATGAAGAACTTATGTAGTGTGACATTTTTTTAAAGAACCAGCAAATGTGATATCACTATTATTAGAAGAAGGATGGGGGCCGGTGCCTAGGCTCACTTGGTTAATCCTCTGCCTGCAGGACAAGCATCCCATATGGGCGCCGATTCTAGTCCCGGCTGCTCCTCTTCCAATCCAGCTCTCTGCTGTGGCCTGGGAAAGCAGTAGAAGATGGCCCAAGTGCTTGGGCCCCTGCATCCCTGTGGGAGACCAGGAAGAAGCACCTGGCTCCTGGTTTGTATAGGCGCAGCACCGGCTGTTGCAGCCACTTGGGGAGTAAACAAAAGGAAGGAAGACCTTTCTCTCTGTCTCTTTCTCTCAATGTCTGTAACTCTACCTGGCAAATAAAAAAAAAAAAATTTTTAAAAAAGGATAGATAAGACTAGATAAGAAGATAGGGTTCAGAATGTGAACTTATTGTTATAATGAAATTTCTAGGAAATTAGAATATACTGAAATATTTTTAAATGTGTCCAATAATCAAATTCCTAGCTTTCAGTGACAGTCTCAAAACATAAGTACAAATAATTGAGATGCAATTCTGAAACTATGAACATTGAGGTCTATTAAGTCCCACCCCATCCTTCTACCTGGTGCAGATTTGCTGTTAATTGGTATGTAGCTGTTTCATGCTCTTGAAGCCCAATATTTGTGTCTCAATCCTTTTTCAGCATACTTATTATATTTTATAATATATATTAAATATTATATTTATATAATATTTTATATATATAAAATGTAGTGATTAAATATCATTGTATTTATTATGTAAATATGTTGTGATTCTATGTTTCAACTACAATTTCTCTACTTTATTGGAGTGCATGTTTTTCCCATACTAGTCCCAGTATATTTATGTAATACCTAATACACTAAAAGTAAACATAAATATAAATTTATTTATTGATGAATGAAAGATAGTTAGTGAGGACATATATTTTTAAATAAATAGAAAAATAGTATGTTCCTCAATAAATATTAAAGAGAAAAGAATGAGAAGCAAATGATGTTTTCTCAAGTGTCCTTTATAGGTAAATTGTGCTTCTCATTGTGGAGCAAATCTTGGATAAAAATGCAATTTTCTAAGTACAATATAGTAGGAGAAATAAAGAAACTTCTGAGAGATCACTAGAGAAAGCTAACATTAAGGTGGATTGATTATTAAAAGAGAATTAGAAAAAAATCAAGCGAATTCAGAAAATATATTTATTTATACTACATGAATATAAAAAGTCAAATATTTCACATTATGTACACACTGTATGGGGACAATTGGATTTGACAGTCAGGTGATTTTAAAGAAAGGAATATCTTTCAAGCAGAGAAAATGACAACCAAAGCAGTAAGTAGAGGAAAATGCAGACAGTGAGTACATCAAGGAACAATTTAAGTACACATTACTTGTTTTTGAAACTGGAACAAGGGGGAAGGAGTAGTATTGATCAGCTCTTCTTTTTCTGTAAATATTAAAGTACATGGCATTTGGACTTAGTGGATATGTTTTAAACAATTTCCAAAGGAGAAATGTTCACATTCTGGGTGATGGAATCATGAGTTTTTGAATTTGTTTTGCCTGAAACCCAGCTATGTCACTGAATGTCCTTTGTGGAAGTTTCTCACTCCTTTTGATTTTATGTATCATTTTAAGAGTTCTTTTTTGTCTGTGAGTTTCCTCATTTACATCCTGCCACTTATAAAACAAAAGACTCCAAGTAATAAACAATGTTGAAAGACATTTGAACATAAATCATTCCATTTTCTAATAACTTCTACAAATATCCCTGAACATTGGTCCAACAAACCTGTTAAAAATACCCAGTAAGAGGCCGGCGCAGTGACTCAATAGGCTAATCCTCTGCCTGCGGCGCCGGCACACTGGGTTCTAGTCTTGGTCGGGGCGCCTGATTCTATCCCGGTTGCTCCTCTTCCAGTCCAGCTCTCTGCTGTGGCCCGAGAGTGCAGTGGAGGATGGCCCAAGTGCTTGGGCCCAGCACCCACATGAGAGATCAGGAGAAGCACCTGGCTCCTGGCTTCAGATCAGCCTGGTGCGTCAGCTGCAGTGCACTGGCCGCAGCGGCCATTGTTGGGGGGAGGGGGAGGGAGGTGAACCAATGGCAAAAGGAAGACCTTTCTCTCTGTCTCTCTCTCACTGTCCACTCTGCCAAGAAAAAAAAAAGAAAAAAAAAGAGAAAAGAAAAAGAAAAAGAAAAAATACCCAGTAAGAAAAAATTCAGATATGCTTAGATAAAGCAATTTTATCACACTAATGAATAATTGGATTACTAAAGGAAAATAACCATCTCTCATATTTAGTAAACATCTGCCTGATTAACTATCATGCTTAAGTCCAAGGAGCTAATGATGACAGGTAACATCTAAAATATTTACCTGTCACTGTTAAGCATATCATGACAATTATTACATTTAATTTTTACAGCAGCATGTAGCATTTATTATTATTATTATTATTATTCATTTTATTTTCATTTATAAAATGTGAGTATTGAGGTACAGAGAAGTTACATAATTGGCCCAAGTTCTCCTAACTAATCATTTGAGGAAAGAATATTCAATGTTTGCAGAGATCACTGCCAATAATACTCCTTGTGGTCACTAAGCAAATAGGTTCCTCTATTAGAATATTTAAGGGAAGTCAAACCCCTTCTGGCTTGTATAGTAAGTTGAAATATACTGAAGATAAAAATGTTGAAATA